AGACCCTTGTCCAAACAACATCCTAACACCTGGAGTGTCCATCAAACACCACCAGAATTCCTGCAGCTCCCAATCCATTTAACACTGACTGCAGTGGGATAAACAACCTTAGGATAGAACAGGGATATCCACAGAGATGTGACCCCTGAGCACCTGCTATGCACAAACTCTGCATGGAAGTTTGGGCAGGATGGAACTGGTGGCCTCTCAAACAGGCTCAGAGTGGTTGCATCACTCAGTTACTGAAGTCATTTTAGTCTTGGAGACCTGCTCAATCCCACAATTTATTTTACAACCAGTATAGAATATTTTGCTTTCCACAAGTAGCACACGAACTAAGAACTTGGGGTCACAGTAAAATATTTTACATAGACAAAATGTGTACTGTGCCATTCACATTTTAAAATTCAGAATTTTGATGGGCAAGCCTCATTTTTCAGGGACAACTGCTTCAAAGAAAAAGGTTGGTTTACAGACTTCTAATATTTTTTTTTACTATTATTATTATTGTTATTTTGTACAGGTTTTATCCCTTAGCACTTTGTATCAGCAGTTATTTTAATTAAACTTCCCAAATACTCATTTCATGATTTTCATTAAATTCAATTCTTTCACTGAACCAATGCCAGCTCATGCTTTTAAAAAATTGATGAGCACCTCTTTGAGATTTGTACACCAGGCAGGAGCCGTGCAGCAGCCTTAGGATTGTTCACAATCCTAACACAAACACTGACAAAAATTCATTAGCTCATTACAGCAAGCAAAATTTCCAGGAATGTTATCATACAGGATAGTAACTTGCAAGGCAATTAACCAGCAATTAATTACTTGAAAATATAATCACTTGACCACTTGAGAATGGGTTGACTGCTTACTTCGAATATTAAACAAAGAATAATTCTTTGAAGCAGCGTGAGGCAGCTCCAGGAAACCCTTTTAAAAAGACACCAGTTCCTCAGACTGGTGTTACTGGGCACGTGGCCCTTCACTGAGACAAGATAAAAATTACTCTTCCCAGTTTTATTGAGAATTCAGGGTCACAGCAGTGCCCACATGCAGTGTGCTATGCAAATAAAACCCCAGCCCTGCCCCACTGCTTTGGCATGGGAATGCCAGGATTCCTGTGTGCAGACAGACCTTCGTGGCTGGAGTTAACCCACATATCTGATTCTGTCTCCCTGGCTCTGCACATGTTGCTGCTTATGAGTGAGGGAGCATTGACTTTAGCAGTGAGATAAATTTTAGGGCCCATTTGAAAGCTCTGGAACATGTGCATGATGCACATTAACAAATACATCATATATCTTACCACTACAGCTCTTCTCTCCCTGCTTATTTTGCATTTCATTTTCTTCAGTGAATCAAGTGGAGGCAGAATATTCAATCTCCGGAGCGAGCAAATGTCCTATAGAGTAAAATATACACTTTTAGATGAACTTGTTCTCTCTAGACTAGTTCCTCCATAGGCAAACAAACCACAGGGAAATTCAAATTCCATTTTGGCTGGGATGCGAAGCCCTGAGAAGGGAGCAGGAGGATTCTCCCCGACCTCTGGAGCTCACGTTTCCTGCGGCTCTGCCGGGCGGGCGGAGGGGAGACATAAATTCTCTGCTCAGGCCACTTGGCAGAACTAATCTCTTTTAATCTGCTCTCTTTATGGCACCTCTCTGGGCTGACAGAACCCCGATTTATGGACTGTCAGGAAGGTCCACAAGGCCAATATCTTTCTTCAGGAGTTCACTTCCTTCAGCGGCAGCGAGTGGCGAGGGAGGGAATTCAAATCCAGCATTTCCCTGGCTCAGAGCTGCAGTGTTACTGTTACACCAAAAGTGTTATCCTAAAGCAATAAAAGCATGCATGTACGTGGCAAAGTAATGACAAACTAGGACACTGCTTTGTTCAAGTGGTGCTCATGGCATGGAAAGTTACACGTGGAAGTGCATCTTTTCCCTAGGGAGGTGCTTGTCCCCCAGGACCAGTGACCCCTTGGCAGACCCAGGGACCTGTTCTGCTTCGTTTTCTATAAAACTAATTAGAATTATTCCCATGTGACCTCATTCAGCACCCTCCCCCAATCCAGGGTGAAAGGGAAAGACACATCCCAGGTCTTTGTGGCTGTTTAACTGATTAGTCCCAGGGCTCCAACTTTATTGATTCCTCCCCAGTGTGGTCTCCAGGGAAGAACTGTGGGCTCTTTGTGGAGCAGTTACATTTAGAGACTGAAAAAGAGCCCTTGAAGATTCAGAGGATAAAAATAATTACCTTTGATGCTGAAAATCTGTTTCTTTTTTTCACCAAATCTGGCAATGCTGCACCAAAATAATTAGTTAAGGAAAATATTATTTATATGAAATTAGTACTTAAGTGTCTTCAGTAAGATATTCATTAGCATAATATTGTGAAGGGAAATAGTTAAATATTAACTGATTTGGCACAAACAGATAAAACCCAACAACTGTCCTGACCTGAAGGGAGCCCACAAGAAAAATGGAGAGAGAAATTTTACAAGAGCGTGGAGAGACAGGACAAGGGGGAAAGGCTTCAAACTGAAGGAGAGCAGGGTTAGATGGGATATTGGGAAGGAATTCTCCCCTATAAGGGTGGTGAGGCCCTGGCACAGGTTGCCCAGAGCAGCTGTGGCTGCCCCATCCCTGGGAGTGCCTAAGACCAGACTGGAGCAACCTGGGCTAGTGGAAGGTGTCCCTGCCCATGGCAGGGGGTGGCACTGGATGGGCTTTGAGGTGCCTTCCAATTCAAGCCAGTCTGGGATTCTGTGACTTCACAGGCTGAAGTTTCAATCAGACCAAGGGATTCCTCCAAGGTCACACACAAAGGAAGAGGCAAAACCAGCACCAATATTTTCTGGACCAATTCAGTGCTTTTAACCACGAGCTCATCCTTCCTCTCCCAATTCCCTGAACTACCCTCTCGGAGTCACGGCAGGACAGAGGCTGGGCTGTAAATGCAGTTACACCACGTTTACCATCTCACCCAAAGGATTTCTTTGAATTAAGCCGAATAAAGCTGTTCACACGCACACAGTACCTGCAGGACTGGTCCCTGAACGAGAAATATTCTCAAACACACATCCTGCAAGGGGAAAAGCATTTGGATCCCTCTTTTCTCCTGCACATAAACCATAACCACAAGACAAAAGCTCTGCAGAGCCTCGGCGGGGCTCGCAGGCGACAACGATCTGTTTTGCTCTGCCGGCTCCAAAATGGTTTTCTTGATGAAACTCCCGAGTCCGCCGGAGACTGAGACACAGATGGATGAGCTGAGCATATGATAAACCTGCTGCATGAGTTTGTAGTTAATTGCCCATCATCTTTTTTGTCTCCCCATAAAAAATTTCACGCCCACCTTGCCCGGCAAAGGTAACCCGGGTGTCACAAACCATTTGTCTCCTCGCCGCGTTGCCCGATCGCTCTCGTTGCTCGGTGCTGTGGAGACAGGACAGATTTGCTGAGCCTTTTTACAGATGAAGCACACTGCATCTTTCATCAAGTGATCTCCATCCCCTAATGAGAAGAAACACCTTCCAGAGCCATTTGCATAGTAATATCTTTATTTCTAAACCAATAAGCAGGCTGTGACTCTCGGGGCCGTTAGTCAGCACAGAGACACTGCATTTACATGAGCCAAGTGTGGAATGAAGCCAAGAAGCCACGTCCTCTTCCCATGGGCAGGGAGGGGACTTGGGCTGAGCAGGAGGAGGGGCTGAGGGTCTCAGTACAAGAACCATTACATGGATGGGGAGCCCATGAAAGAAGCATCATTGGAGTCCTGTGCAGGGTCATGAGTTGGACTTGATGATCCTGTGAGTCCTTCCAACTCAGGATATTCATGGAATCACAGAATGGTTTGGGTTGGATGGACCTTAAAGCCCATCCAGTGCCACCCCCTGCCCTGGGCAGGGACACCTTCCACTAGCCCAGGTTGCTCCAAGCCCTGTCCAACCTGGCCTTGGACACTTCCAGGGATCCAGGGGCAGCCACAGCTTCTCTGGGAAACCTGTGCCAGGGCCTCCCCACCCTCACAGGGAAGAATTTCTTCCCAATATCACATCTAAACCTACTCTCTGTCAGCTTTAAGCTGTCCCCCCTTGTCCTGTCACCACAGGCTCTTGTAAAAATTCCCTCTCCATCTTTGTTGGATTTCTCCATTCTTTCTTGAATCCTTGTGTATGATTCTGTGTCCTCTCCCTGCCTTCACAGCTCTTCTTGGGAAAACAGCCCCTTTCTCCTGCAGGAACCAGGGTTCAGGGGTGGTGGCTGGGCTCAAGAACAGGAGCTGACACTGCAGATACCATCAGTGCTCCTCAAGCCTGTTTATCACCAGAGCTCTTCTCTCTCTCTTATTTTTACTGGGGGACAAAATATTGCAGGAGGGGGTCATTTCAGGGCAGCACAGCCTCACTGGGAGCAGCAAGAGAGACAAAACACTGTCTAAACACCACAATTCTGAACCTGCCTTCAAAAAAATCTCCTGATTTTTTCCTTGGATGCCATAGTGCAGAAAGGCTCCTCTTCCCTGCCACAGCTCCAAGGCAAAAGGTGTCACTGTGCTGGGGCGTTGGGCCTCTCCCTGCCTTCCAACCTCTCTGCTCATCTGAGCCCAGGGAGTCTGGTGGGCAGCACCCCTTGAACAGAGCAGAAAGGAAAAAAAAGTCCTCCTTGCACTGAGTCACTTGACAGTAAATTGAAACCTCTTCTCCACCCAAGTGGTGCAGCCTAACAGGCCTCTGGAAACCACCAAAACATTCAGCGATGGCAGAGCTTCCCCAGGAAACAGCTTTTCTTCAGCAATCAGCCTCTCCGAGCAGGAACGAGCAAAGTCTAATGGGCAGTTAAAGGAATTAGTCCCGATTTCCCTGGTGTGCTTTACAGTTCACGGCCCTGATTTACAGAACTTAAATCTTCAGCAAATAGATTTTTCCCTGTTCCTCTCAGGGCACAGATCCACCTCCTCCCCACAGCTCCCCTGCCGGGCCCAGCAGAGAGGAGGGAGCTGCCAACACAGCTCTCACGGCTCTTCAGAAGCTGCTGGGAACAAGCAGGACTCTGCTGATCACCTCATTCTGGAATTTGCTGAATATAAGCAGAAATGGCTCCGAGAAGAGGAACAAACTCTTCCAACAGTCCCTGTGTAGCCCACGCTGAGGCACCACCAACACCACTCCTAACTGAGGTGGGACTTCTGCTTATTATACTGAGACCTATATTTATTAATTTAGTTATATTGGTGGCTCTCCAGAGGGAACCACACAGAAAGCCTTCACCTGGCCTAACTAAGTTTATATTTTTTATATCTGTCTGTGCAGACGTGTTTGTTTGATTTTGGTCATTTATTTATGGGTTTGTGTCCTTACATCTCTCAGCACATTAAAATGTCATCAATTTGCAATGCCTGTTTGAAATGTCACCTCTTTTTTTAGCCTAAAATGTGGTTTGGTACCGTGAAGATATAAAATAATATTATCTCAAGATATAAATGATATTTATCTAAGAGGGTGACTATTATAAGCACTTGATAAGTGATGGAATTATTAAAACCAGTCCTGCCTTGATATAAGGTCGAGAATTGAAATAATCCTGTTAGCAAGGGAATAGGAAACATCTCTCTCTCTCAGTTCCTGTGGAGGTGCTTTAGGAGATGCCCATTTTTCCCCATGGAATTAGGAGGAGCCGTTCCACATGATCTGTTTTCCTTTCTGACCGCATTAAAACAAACATTCCACGGAAGGAGTTTGTTCCCCATCTCTTTCAAAAGGCTGCCACCACCTGGGGATTGGTTTTAATACAAGGCTCGGGTCTGTGTTTGGCAAATAAATGTTCCTGGAGCAGCAGCTCAGGCTCTGTGAGGAGGTGCCACTGCAGCTCAGCCAGGAGCTGTCTGTGGGACCACACCAGGAATTCTGACACGGCAACACCTCCGTGCCACAGGGGCTGGATTTACCTTCCCCTTTAAAAATCTGCACTTCCTGCAAAACATGGGTTTTATCCATTTGTGTTATAAACACTTCTGTGTATTTTGAACTGTATAATTTACACATGAGCAGGCAACTTGCTTAACCCCCTCCAGTATCAGGTAGGGTGTCACTGCAGGGCCCAGAGCCTGGAATTTTTCTTTTCTTTCTACAGTGCCACTGGATTTTACCAACAAGGATATTCCAATCCAAGATTTTATTTGCCTCGTAAATTCAAAGTTTCCTTTAACAGCCGATATGTAGCTTGTGAGAACTCCTACTCTAGAATACAGAAGACAATAAAAGTAATAAATTAAATGCATTCAGCCCATCTTACCTTGGTCTGGCTCTACCAGCTCCCTTGAAAACATGACACCATTGAAATGTACCCTCCACTGCAGTCAAGGGGGGGAGAAAGCAGAGAAAACAAGTGAAAAAGGTACTAGTCAGCCACAAGAAATTACCTGAGTGTGCACAGCTCCATCCTGACTTCCAGCAGCTTGGGAGGAGAATTATAAATTACCTTGGCTGCAAAATATCCCGATGATGGTCCCTCATCCACACAAACATTGACAACAGAGCAGCAACCGCGTCTCTCGGCACCAAGAGAACTGAAAGGGAAAGAGTGAAAGGAGAAGTTATTACATTTAGGATTTTATCATTAGCAGCAGCAGGTTTGAAAGGATGCTGGGAACAATTGCCTGCCACCTTCCCCTTCCACAGCCTTCAGAACTGGAAAACATTCCGGGCGGTGCCGAGCACTGGGAAGCGACCGGAGCTGAAATGAGGTTTTATCTTCAGTGAGGGTTTATTTCACTCCCCATAAAGTAAAAGGCAGCACAGTTTAGAAATAATGTATTCGCAGCCCTGACTATTATGGGCAAGCCATTATTTTTATTGCTGGCTGTGTAAAGGATATTTCATGTTTAGGTAACGCTGGTGTTCCAAAATAAATAAGGAGGCGGATGCAGCAGAAAATCCTCCTTGGTGCAAAATACACACACAATTATGTGCTAAGCACTGGAGGAGTACATTGTACCTGCCCACAGAAGTTTTATAACTGTGAGAATAATCCCTCATTTGCATGTGCAATTACTGCAATTGCATATGCAATTACAGCCACTGGTTTTCCAATGAGCTCAAAGGAAAAAAATAAAATACCCATTTCTCTTCGCTGTAATAAAAATGTGATTTGCATACGCAGAAAGAAAAACTGTGCTTTCTGGGATGTGAAATTAGACCACCTTGGGGTATATTTTGCTTTTCTTGAATGAAGTATAAGCATTTCTGTGATATTAAAAAAGGTTGGAGCTTTTTGATAGCTGGAGACTTCACAGTAATTTCTTCTCTTGGGCCACTGTAATTACTGTGCACTATTCCATTGTCATCAGAGATATTATTTTACATTTGCAATTAATAGGACATAGTCTTGAGGCCAGATTCCTTAAAGCTTTATCTTTCTCTCTAATAACTTAGATCATTAGGAATCACATTTATTTAATTTCTCAGAAACGTGCAAATAAAAGAATTCCAAATTCCAATCTAGAATTCTATTTTCAGAATTGCCAGCATCTGCTCTTTCTAATAACCACAGGTGGGAGGAAATCCCATAATCTCCTCATCACCAATTTTAACTTGTGAAATGAGAGCATCTGAAAGTGCAGCAACAACCAGAAAAATATAGAAACGGTGCCCTGGATTTTTGGAGTGTCCGGAGCATCTCCAGGATTTTCAGATCTCATTTTCTCAGTTTAGAAATATAAAGTTCTGCTTATTTTCTTCACTGCTGCCACATAAAGACCGTGATTTTCCCCGTGCTGAAGTGGAAATTTGGCCATCAGCAGAGAAATATTTCAGTGAAATATTTACAAGCCCCTCATATTTGTTCACACTGAAGGTGTGCACAGGACGAGGGGAGTTGGATGGTGCAGTTCCACCCCAGCATTAGAAAACCCTTTATTTTGGGCTGAAATCATCACCAATTGATGCTCAGCAGGCCAGAGCATGTGAAGGCAGCACGTTCAGATGTGACCAAGCCTCCTGATCCTGGACATCCACAAAGAATTTCCATCAGAGGATGTTGAAACTTCTGTCCAGGTCATGCTCCCACACCTGCAGCCCTACAGAGATGAAAGTCTACCTCTAACCCCAGATTAAATTCTAAATGTTAGGAAGGAAAATTAATTTTCTCTTCTTTGATAGATGAATATTTCATCTGGAGGAACCAGAGGCTGCTCTCACTTGAGCAAAATAGCAACAAAACCAACCCAGCACTTGCTCGGCTTTTCCCTTCCTCAGAAAGAGAGGGAGAAAAACTACTGTGTAAGGTAAGAGCAGGCTGTATGTGCCATCTGTATGCCAGCTAAATTCAAATTCCTGGTGGATTAGATCACCCAAGCAAGAAAATACAGGTTCTGTCTGTCACCTCCATGCCTCTAGTTGAGAAAATAAGAAAGGTAGTTTAGCTTTGACAGATGCTTACAGGCTTTTGCACTTTTTAGACAAAGAAATGTTAATTAAAATGGCTCCAAGAGCTGACTCCTGCAAAAACCTAGGAAAGCTTATATACTTGTTATTTCAGTGCAAGAATTAAACAAATACATCTGTCACTGAAGAACAAAAAATGAAAAAATTTAACTTACGTTAATTGTTCATTTTCAGCCTCTTTAAAAGCAACCCGGTCCCTGGCTGAGGGATCTCCTTGTCTGCCAACGGTCCTGAGGAGCAAAAATCAGGTTCTACACAAGAAAATGGGGTACAACTTGAGATATCTTTGAAAGCAATCATTTCTCTTTGTGATAATCTCCATTCTTGTCTCCAGTCACATTTTGTTTCATGTGTAAATATGTGTGTAACAGAACACAGGACTGAGGTTTCAAACCTAAACAGAAAATGTTATAAATAAAGACCTTAACAGAATAAACAAATGAAGAAGGAAAGGGCTTTAATTTGTATTTGCCAATTCTGGAAACAATTGCTGTGGGATGGATGTCTGGCTCTTCTGTCAGGGAGAGTTTGCTATTAATTTCTCAGCCTGAGAACAACTCTCCACTTAGCAAACAGCTCTGGGGTATTGAATGTGTGACATCACTTCTACAGTCCCACATCCAGACAAGAGCAGCAGGACCACTGGGTGTTTTCTCAGGAGCAGACAAAAATATGAGTGCCAACAGCCAACCATTAGAAGCATTTAATCACCTGAAATTAATGAAGACTTTAATGCACAATATTCCTCTCCTTTATTTTCATTTGCCCAACCCTCCTCTCCCCTTTTTCCTTGGAGTCACCAGCTGTTCTCACCCAAACACTGCAGTCCCACACCAAGTCTGTGTTTGAACCACTCAAACAAATGGGTTAATTGTGCTTTAGTTGGTTCCCCAATGTCAAGATACTTCAAAGGCAGAAGCTCTAGAAACCATTTAGAGCTCTGGGACAAAAATAAGGTGGTTCTTATCTCATTTTAAATGAGCAGCAATATAGAAAGGAGATATTTAATCAAATAACAAGGCTTCTCTAGACGTTAAACCTTTTGCTTTGAGCAAATTAACTGGATAAAGTTATGATTAAAACCTCTTCAAACAGATCATTTGGGCTTTCCACTGTCCACAGAGCAGTTACAAGTATGTAACTTTGTGGTTTCAAACAACACAACCCTTTGATATCCAACCTACTCTCCAATTTTAATGTTCCTCTCCTAGAACAAGTATCAGTATTTTTTCCCCTTTGAAAGTGTTACTGTTCAAGGCCCTGATTCAGAGGAGACACTTAGAGAAGTGCATAAACATATTCTTAGCTAAATACATGTTTCCATTGAAATTTGCATTATTTTCTAAAATTTCAAAATATATCCATGCCCAGATCATCCAACCCATGGCCTGAACCACAGGGCAGCCTTGGCCTCTTCAAAGGGCAGCTGAAGTCCAGTTAAACCTTAAAATCCCCTCCTTTTGGGGTGAGGGTGGCACTCACCAGCACTTTAAATTTCCATATTTTTAATTAGGGCTCTGCTGGTTCTTTTGTGAAACTTTGGAACTGGTGGGAAAGTTCTGGAGGAGGCAGCAGGTGAGGGCAGAGCTGAGTCAGCACCTCAGCCTGGCAGCACAGCAGCTGCAGCAGCAATTCCCTGGAGGAAGGAGCTGCTTTGGGAGGAGAGCAGGTGCTGCTGGATGCAGGCCTGGCCAGCAGATGCCCAGTTTGCCTCCAGGGCTGTTCCCAAAGAAAAGAACCCAGCAAAGCTTAGGCTTGGATACCACCTGTCCTCTCCAGAGGGAACGTGTGCTGGGGAGGAGCTGAACCCAGGACCACATATTTCATCTGGGACATCTGCTCTGCTCCCTGAGGATGAGGAGCCTGACCAAGGCAGCCTGGTCCTGATCCCTAAACTCTTTGCACAGTTCCCATCACTCCAGCACAGCTTGTGTTCAAAATAAATCCAAAGTCACCTTGTGATGAACACTGTGGTACAACTGGACTGACACATAAAACCAAATATTCCATAGAATCCCTGAGGTTGGAAAAGCCCTCCCAGCCCATGGATCCCCCCTGTGCCCCATCCCCACCTTGTCCCCAGCCCAGAGCACTGAGTGCCACGGCCAGACCTTCCTGGGACACCTCCAGGGGTGGGGACTCCAAACCTCCCTGGGCAGCCCCTGCCAGTGCCTGACCACCCTTTTGGTGAAAAATTTCTACCAAAGGATCCCTGCTGCATCACCCTCATTACAGCAGCTGTTAACAGAGGTTTCAAATCAGCATTATTGTATTATTTCACGTTGTATCCGAGGTTCTATGCAGAATATTGTTCTAAAACACACCCTGAGAACAGTGACAGCATCATTGTCATCCCAGGGCAGGCAGGGGAACTCACATAAGATGATTTGTGCAGAAAAGTCCAGTGAGAAGTGACATTTATATTTGCCTTGTCAGAGCTCAAACAAAGCTCTCAGTGTTCCCCAGCATCCCACTGACACTGAGACAAGAACCAACAACCATCACTCCAAACTGCTGCAGAGCAGGAGACTGGGGGATTTAGCAGTGGCTTCCCATCCTTGCTGGGATCACACTCACACTCCCAATGCACCCAGAGGAACATTCCAGCTGCTGCTCTCCTGGAGCCAGGGCTGAGCCACTCCTGCCTGCTGATTCTGCAGGAAAAAGGAAGAATTATTGGGTATTTGTACTGAGCTGCTGCCCACAGAGCTGAAGATAAATCAAAGTGGGAACAATAAGCAGAGGAAAGAGGCCACTGGAGAATGTCCAGGATGGGCTGAGAAAGGCAGGAGTTGGGCTGGAAATGCAAGAAGGGAATTTTTCATGATCGTAAGACCAGCACCTCCAGCAACTCTTTTCTGTTTCTTATTTAAACTTTTTCTTCCCAGGACAAGGGGGCCTTTCCCAACCTCTGTAGAAATTATTTCCATTTGATAATTATTAAAAAGAATATGGAATTTTGGAAACTTTCTTGCATCATCTCTACATCTGTTTTCCCATTTCACTGCTTATCACACAAAAACCAAGACAGAAGTCAACTGTGTATTTAAGTTTGAATGAACTTCAGTGCTCCCAGGGGAGCACTGGGATTTTTTCCTTCAGACCCTTTGCATTAAAAATGAAATTGTATTTTTTTTCTCACTTGCAAAGTTAGTTTTTGAGGGAGAGAGAAAGAAACACCACGAGTAACTTAAATGTTTTCAGTAACTTGAGGAAAAGTAACTAAAGAAACTGAAAAAACAAACAAACAAACAAAAAACAACAAACCTGGTAGATCCTGCTCAGAAACAACCTAGAAAACCAAGAGTTCAGTATTAAATGTACAGCACTGAAGAGCTCATATTTAAACACAAATCATGTGGAATATTTATGACTCCATGAACCAAACTCTTTGAGGATGAAACTTATTTCTTACTCAGCTTCAGCAGCTCTAAATGAAGTAACATTTGGGGTTATACAAAACATTTGTAAAAAGGAATGAATTTTAGATGCTATGCATTAAGAAATTAAGTTGACCAATCCCTTTTCTTGCCCTCGGCCTTCCAGGCTCTCTTACTGAAAACCCGATTTCCATTAATAAAACAAATTTATTTCACTCTGCCCGTTGAGCAAGAAAAAAGCTCTGTGAAACTTCCAGCTGTGCCTTTGAGATATTGCTACTCTCCCCCTATTTCTTGGCAACTTCTCCCTCATTAACATGCATATTTTAATAGTATTGCTGAGGTCAGAGTGGCTCGGTGTCTCTGCTGACTGGCTGCTTTGCAGAGCTTTTGTGAGCACTGCAATAGTAAACCCCACTTGGAGGTTTTTTAGCACACGTTTTTGATCCTCAGGGCTCCTCTAGGTCATCACTGAGCACAAAAAAACCTGAGCTCAGGGCTCAGACTGATTGTCAAAAATAGAGAGCATCAGGAAGAACTGAAGAGGCACCAGATGAGTCTCAGGGGGCCACTGAAAGGGAGGGTCAGGCCCATTTCTCACACTTCTGAGCCCGTTACCTTGGTCTGCACGTGGCAGGTGCTGCTCTAATGACCCAAATCAACTCTCCATCCTCCTCAGGGCCTGACAGTCAGCTCAGACAGAGCTGTGGATGAACAGGAAGGGGACAAAGTGACAAGTTTCTCATAATTTCTGCTTATTTCTTCTATGCAGAGCAGTGGAAACAGAATCTGATTATTTGCTCTGCAGCCCTAAGTGGCAAAGGTGGACAAACAGTCAAACCCCCTCCTTCCTGAACTCTCTCCTCACCAGCTGTCTCATAATTCTCCAGGAAAATCCAAAAAAAAATTATGAAAATTGCTTCTCCTACCACAACACAAGGAAAGCTCCAAGCCTGTGTTGTCCCATCCAACAGTAGTGAGAATTTTAACATCCAAAACTAAGTCATGAAAGAAAAGGGAAAGGAAGAACCATCTGAGCTTACTTAGGTCAGTATTTGCTTTTTTGGCTTAGAGCAAGAGTTATTGCCAACAAAACCCCACACTGACAGCCAAGGCCACAACAATCTGCAGGACAAAACAAGGAGACACAGACTGAAGTTTTCTAAAATATTGTGATGGGAGCCCGGATGAAACCTCTGGTCCTGCCTTTGTCCAGCAGTTTGTTTCTATCAGCACAGAGCTCTGAGCACACACAGTGTGAGGCAAAGTCCTGTCAAACCCATTTCCCCTCTGCAGCTGAGGGCTTTGTGGCTGTTTTCCTTGGTTTGAAGGCAGACCCTGAGTTGTGTTTGTTCAGCCCAACCACCCTGTGACCTTCACTGCCGAGCTCACTCACTCCTGACACCTGTAGGACAACCATCTCCCAGAAACTTCTCCCAGACAGAGAGATCAGAACCCCTCAAGTTTTTAATTTGCCTGTTTATGTCAGTGCATTGCTGCTTTCCCTCCTTTAACCTGGCCCTTTACCCAGCACACTCCCTGTGCCTCGGCAGCGCTGCCCAGTTCACTGAACACCCAAAAACTCCTCCTGGTTCACTGTGATTTGCAACTCCACAAAACATAGGCAAATGAAATTAGTGCCAGCAAAAATAATTACAGTTGCTCATGGAAGGATTAATAACTAAAGCCTGCCCTGCTTATGGTGAGGTTTAATTCTGTTGCAGGCACTAAAGGAAGAAGTTAATTCTGCGTTCCTGTTGTGTGTGGCAGGTGATGTGTCACGCGAATGCAGGTAATTAGTTAATTGTGGAGGGAAGCAGAGATACACCCACGTGTCTTGTAAAGATACAAAGAGAATCATGGACTCAGAGAATGGTTTGGGTTGGAAGGGGCCTTAAAGACCATCTAGTCCCAACCCCGTCCTATGCACAGGGAATCTTCCACTAGAACAGGTTGCTCAGGTCACATATCACAAATAAACAAATACATCACCAAAGACTGATCATTACCTGTGGATGATCCATAATTCCATAATGCCTTTTTCTGGATACACAAACCCCCCTGCTATTCATCATTTGAAAGTGGATAGGATTGACTTATTGCTACAAGGTGTAATAACACTATGAACTGTTCCCTCAGGCTACGAGGATTCAATAAAAGAACAACCACCTTTTTATACAGCGTTCGTGGGAACAAATCCAATTTAGTGCTGTGAATACCTCCCTCGTTAGGGGATCACTTGCTCTGCTCTGGCCTCCTGTGAGAGACTGCAGTGGCTTGAACATTGTTAAAATCACTGCAAAGGGGGAAGCTGGACAGGAGGGACACACCACAAAAATGCAGGAACTCAACAACAATGTCAGCCAGGAGCTGGGAACCCAAACCAATAGGATACTTCCCTCCAAGCCCATTAGGATATTCCTCCTTTGGAAGAGCCTGGGGTGGGGAAGCCCTTCCATCACATCCTTCCTTCATTGGCACCGTGACATTGGGCAGGACCCCCGTCCCGTCCCAAACCATCCCATCCCATTCCATCCTCAGTGCAGTGGTGCCAGTCCCTGTTGATACCAGTCTGAAGGTGATCATTAACCTGCAAAAAAAAAAAAAAAAAAGGGGAGGGTAAGTATTTGGGGGATCTGAGCCCTTCCCAGCTGAAATCCCTTGGAAATGGGAACGTCATTCTGTGGCTGTTTCCAAGCCTTTACGAGCTGGATTAGCTCCCTGGAAGCTGGGGGACAACAGCTGTCTTTCATTTAGGATTAGCATAAAAATCAATCAAGCACCCTTATGGAGCCAGCAAACTGAAACTGTGAGAGCTCCAAGGAAAACAAACTCCAGGTGGAAAATATGAGATTTTTATGGAGCCAGAGAACACAAATCCAGGTTGGACGGTACCTGCTGGAGACATGTGCTCACATTTGTTTGAAATCTCCAGTTTAGTGGTTATTCTGGAACTGAAATGAGGCAAAGCTGATGCTATCTAATTAACTTGTAACTTGATTTTGAATTGCTGTACACTTCTAAACATGTAAAGCTCTACAGTGTTTCAGCAGCAATCATGTTTACCACACCAAGCTGCTTTTCTGCTGCTGAGTTTTATGTGATTTCTTCTGGAAAAACACACTTTATTAGTGTCTAGGACATCTCATTAAAGCCCACAAAAAGGGGGCTCAGAAACATCCTGAATAAATGCACACTGAGCGTTTCAGAGTCATTTCAAATCATTGATTTGGGCTTTTCTTTATGGTCAGTGTCATAGTTGAAATAAAGGGAAAAATATCATCAATAATCCAGTAATAACTAAGTTTATTAGTATGTAAAGCAGCCAGCTGGATGTCAATTAACAAGATAAAGTTATACAGGCAGATTCCAGAGTCGAAGTAGTACATGAAAAATACTATATTATTATATGAAACCGCATATTTTTATGTTAAAAATTATCAGGGTCTCTAAATGGCTGTGATGTTCTCTGGCTGCATTTGTTCTATTTTATTGTAAAGCTACAGAAATCAGAACATTTTCTTTGAAATGGAGGGAAAACCCTTCAGTGAAGGTCACAAAATCACAGCCAACATGACACTTCTCTAAAATTGTTTTAAACTTGCACTGACTGCTACAAGTCACCCAAGGTTTCTACACTTACAGCTGCCAAAAATTACATGAAGGTCTGCTAAGATGTTTTATGTCACCTCCAGAGTGTCAGGTTCCATTGAAACATTACTCCATAGGAAAAGCAAGAGAAAATCCCTTCCCATAATATTATAACTTCTCATTTTCCCCATAGGTAAATTTAAAATAATCAATAAGGCCCAAGACTGTAGTTTTATTAATCCAACACCGGTAGTACCTTGGATCACCACAGAAAAATCCATTTTAATATCAGAACCAGTGTGTCCCACAAAAATCCTTATTTGCTGCCACAACACTGTTGTTAATTTATTGTTTGTGTGTCAGTCACACAGAGATGTTCATCTATTGCCACAGGAAGCAGAGCACTGCAGAATCTACTTAATTTATAAGCATTCAAATGGGCTCTTGTTTAGTTCTTGTACAGCTTCCTTAGTTCATACTGGGATAGCTGTGACTGATTCACACCCCACGTTCAGATAATCACCTGTTTACCCCCAGGAAAGAATATATAGCATTTAGACTAACCAACATTTCATATTAACTCTTTTTCCTGCCTTTATCTTTTCTCTAAAACTGATTAAATTTAGTATTTCTTCTTCTACCTTTCTCATTTAAATACTCCTTAAATGGCAATTCTTTTTCATAATAACCAGTATTAGGAACTTACCTCAGGTACTCACACAGCATTTGCTTACAGCAAGTATTCTTAAATTCCTTCAGGATCAGACTTTCACCCCCCCAAAAAAAAATATATATAAATTGGGATACAACTACATACAACAGCCTCAAGAGGGAAAAAAAAAAAAAACATTCACCATGCTATCCTAAATAAAGTAATTCTTTTTTAAACAGGGGCACCTGCAGAAGTGAAGGTCAGTCTCCTCAATACTCTCACTTAAATATTGCTCTAAATTCAGGTTTCAGGTGTTTTCAGTGCAGAAACACCCCTGCACAGATGTTCTCTGATCAGACCCTGAAGACAAGAATAACTTGTGGAAGGGCCAAGTGCTCAAGCACACGGGTGGCACAGATGCCAACTCCTTACATTTTACCAGTGGTTTGAATCAGCCACTGGAGCTGCTGTCTGCAGTGAATTCCACTCGCTGAAATACGGCCACAGGAACGGGGGGACGGACTTTGACTGTTCATTTTTGCAGACAGGCTGACTAATTGCTGCCAGGAGAGGACATGCAGGGGGCTGTGAGCACCCAGGCACAGAACAGGTGTTTGTAGGACCCGAGGGGTTCCCTTTGCTCTCTGATCGGTGCTCTGCCCCCAGGGCAGCCCCAGGAACAGTCTCACCCCCGGAGAGCACAAAGCTCCAGCTGAGAGCTCCAAAACAGGAGCCTGGCTGGGATTCCCACTCCAGCTGCTTGTGCGGGGCTGAGCATCCCTCATGCTGCTCAGACCTCAGAAAGGCTTCGTGCCTTGGAGATGGAAACGTCCTTAGGGCAGGGTTAGATGGGATATCAGGAAGGAATTGTTCCCTGGGAGGGTGGGGAGGCCCTGGCACAGGTTGCCCAGAGAAGCTGTGGCTGCCCCATCCCTGGAAGTGTCCAAGGCCAGGTTGGAGCACCCTGGGCTAGTGGAAGGTGTCCCTGCCATGGCAGGGGTGGCACTGGATGGGCTTTGAGGTCCCTTCCAACCCAACCCATCCCGTGAGCCTTTGCTCCTTTCTTACAGGTTGGAGAAACACCCCATGTCCCACTGCCCCACTGTGGTCAGGCACAGAGGAACAGTTCTCTCTCATTTCCTTCCCTTTTTCCTTACTTTAGGCCCACGTCCTTCCCAGACTCCACAGGAACTCTGCCAAGTCCCTCTGACCGGTGGGATGACACCAGAGACCAAAGGCCAATCAATAACTTTGCAATTGCTTAATTTACACAGAACTCACCTTGACAGTGCAGGAGACACCTTTCAGAGCTAATTGAGCTGTAGGTGTTTAATTTACTTTGCCTTTATCAGTAATATAAAACTGCTTTGGTTTTTGCCAATATTCATTAATGAGAATAACATCAGAGCTCATTTTTGTCTTAGATTTACAGATTGATTTCTGAAAACTAACCCACTATCCATTTGATTTGACAGCACTGCTTAACAGCTATTCCTTTTTTTCCCTCACAATGTTGAAAAACTATTTTCCCCACTTTATTTTTAAAGCTGGAACTGAAGGGAATCATTTCCAGAATATTTTTAAATCATTTCACTGTTCCCCATCAGTACCTACTCTATTTAGGAAGGGTTACACTGGCTTTATTTCACTTATTTATTCATTTCCTTACTGTCAAACAAATGCACCTCCACAGCTTTCTGCATTTATAAGGGCAAACTTAAAAGTGGCTTAACACATGGCTTTTCTCATGGTTAATATGTTCAGACTTTCAGACAAAACATCTGCATTTATCTCTTTGGACAGATGGAAGGTACTTATCCAGCTATGCATTAAATAAACAAAAATGCCCATTACTGCCTGCAGAAAAGATGTTTATCATAAAACAACTTTCAAATTGTGGGAAATGCTTGAAAAAAGACCTTTTTTTAGAAAAATCATGTGATTTGTTTGCAATATAATGTGACCACCAGGCCAGGTTGGTGATTAAGGTGATCTTTAGTACCATCTGATACCGGTTGTAGTGAAAATGCCCTGGATATCATCTCAGGATCATGAAGATTGGAAAAGACCTCCAAAGGCAGCAAGTCCCCCCTGTGCCCAATGCCCATCTTGTCCCCCAGCCCAGAGCACTGAGTATCACCTCCAGTCCTTCCTTGGGCACCTCCAGGGCTGGAGACCCCACCAATTTGAGCAACACATGCTCCAAATGAGCCTAATCCCCAATTTACTTATTTCCTTGGATAACTGCACTTCTCAGAGGTCTGAAATGTGGAATAATATCCACAGCACATCCCTACCAGTCACTGTTGTGTCACCACCATTCTCCTTGTGAGAGTGTGGGATTTGTGTGTGGGGAAAAAAAACAAAAACAAAACCAAAAACCAAACAAATAATCTGTGATTTACTGTTACTGGTTAATTCCACTAAGATTACTTACTAAAAACCTTAAAAAAATAGATTTAATGCAGATGTTAAATTAAAGTGTAGCATGGCTGTAACTGAGGACTGTTACCCAGAGAAGCATTAGCAGCAGAGGGTTATAGTATTTTTTAGTACCTTATTAAAACAGTCACACGGATGTGAACATTGTCAGGGACATCTTGTCACATAAATAATTGGACCATTACTTTCAGGCATTGTACACTATATAAAATGTTAATAAGCCTTCTAAAATAGCTCTACATTATAGAAACATATTTTCTATTCCATAAAATATTTGGAAGGTCAGGGGAAGCAGCTGGGGACGAGAGGAGAGACAACTGCTCTATCGTTGCTGCTGAAACAGGAGAGAACATCACAACTGTGAGCAACTTCAGCTTTATACAGCAAATCAAAAGCACAACTGGGGCTGTGCTACAGAGGGCAGGGGCTCCCAGGTGGACTTAGCCCAAAATTGTCAGTCATTATTTAATCAGATCATTATTTCTCACCAGATAACCCCTATCAAAGAAGAAATATGAGCCCTAGACAGGTCCAAAATACATGCTGTGATTTTCAGAAGTAGCCAAAGAGCAAAACAATTCAAAGTTTGGGATATTTCTTGCTTGACTCAGCATATGAAAGTCATTGTCCTTATCCTACTCTCTTGAGAGGGGAAATAAATCAGACAGAAACTCCCCCAGCACGAGTGTTTCCTCCCTGGGATGCTGTAATTTAGAGAACCCCTTCAAGGTTTTGGATGTCACTGTGGTTTGATTTAAGAGGACCCATAACCTGTTGGAACCAATGAAATGCTCTGTGTGAACTCAGCCAGCTCCGAAATAACCCCTTTCAAACTGCTCCAAACCCAACTTCTGAATTCCAGCACCACAGGAAACAAAACCCAGAGAACATTCTATTCCTCAGAGGTTTTATGGGATCAAAGGAGATGTATTTGATGTTGGGCAACTGAGCAAAAACCCACATTGCCCAACCAAAGACTTACTGTGGGTTCATTTCCAAGGGCACCTCGTGCCACGTGCCTGGTGCCTTCGCAGGGACAAGGCACAGAAATAAAGCCACTGCACAGCTACAGAGTGTTATTGGAATTCACTGGGCTTTGTGTCAACCTACCTGAATAAGGGAAGGTGGGAACACAAAACAGGAAAATTACAGAATAACAGAACCAGAGAATGGTTTGAGCTGGAAGGGACCTTAAAGATCATCTAATTCCAACCCCCTGCCATAGGCAGGGAGACCTTCCACTGAACCAAGTTGCTCCAAACGCCATCCAACCTCACCTAAATATTATATATAACATAATATATGTGCAATATTATATATTACATACCATATAATATGCTGCCACCCCTCTGGAGAAGGAGGGTCTGCTCCAGTGGAAATCACCATAGAAAGAAATGATTTAGAAAGGCACAAAATCCATGGATTGGGGTTTTTTCCCTTGAAACTGAAGACTAACTCAGCCAACTCCAAGCCAAGAAAGAAGCAGATTTCTCCATCCAAAATGTCCTATTCCGTACCTATAAAAGAATAAATACATCTATTAACTAATGAATTCAGTAAAAACAGGAGGACAACAGGGAACCAGGGATCTCTGTACTGGTTTGTGAGGAACAGTCTCAGCTGTTTAAGCACAACCATCTCTTTGCCAGTGGCTGAAACAAAGCTCAGGCTTTAAGAGGAAAAGAGCAGCAGGACCAAGTCCAAATGTTGCTCCAACGAAGGAAATATCTGTTAATTACTTTTGAGCACATTCATCTTCCATCAAACATTTGATGGAGACAATCACCCCTGTCTGGTGTCAGTGGACCTAAGCAGGAAGCACTTGGGGTGTCCTGGGCAGGGCCAGGAGTTGGACTTGATGATCTTGTGGGTCCCTTCCAACTCAGGATATTCTGTGATGATCCTGTGATATTTATAACCCTGTATTGCCTGGCTGGGTGCAGAATTTAAGCATTTAAGACCTGCTTCCACCAGCCAGGGAGCCCTGAGTGAAGGTGGTGGCATTTTTGTTCTCTAAAGAGGCAGCAAATCCCAGTTCTCGCTTTCAGAAGACCTGCAGAAGTTTTGTATCTTCTTTTAAAAACAATATTCAAAAAAGTATTTTCTAACATCACCTTTTACTGTGCTTAAAAACTCTCCATCAGCTCAATGGATGTGTCGTGCACAGCTCTGGAATGGGTATAATTCCTGCTGTTATGTACTCGCTGACTCACGGGTGGAAGTTGCTAGAGAAGGTAATAAAAACCAAACAGATAATAACTGTACTGTAGTGAAAATGTTTAGCAGTTAAATGAAAATGAAAGACCTTTTATGTGTGCCACATTTGCATCTTCCTCCCAGGCAGCTCGAAAAAATAATAGAAAACTAAAGGAAATATTTAAAGTTTACTTTAAATATTCACAGTGCTGAGAAAAATAAAGTCTTGGATATGTGGTTTTATTTGTGAAATGTGGTTTTTAGTAGAAATTTAAGAAGTGTTGAAATTAGGTATTTAGACATTGAAAAGAGTGTTCCAGAAGTACCACACCATGCCAAGCTTACCTTACTTAGTGAGGTTCAAAATATAAATTGAATTAAAGTTTTAAAGTTTATGTAAAATGCACTAAACACTTGGTAACTTAATAACGTGTAAATTAAATAAGAGTTCTGCCTTAATAGCAAACATTCATGGAAAACTTCTCCTAAAATGTTCAAAATTTAAAAGAACCTTGGATGTCCATCACATCCCCAGTTCACAGTGGAAGAACAACCCCAGAAGAACCATTTTTCTGCATCATATTCTCATTATAGTTATTAAAATTAATGTTTAACTATGAGAGAGATAAAATGTTAGGAAAAGGGAATCTGTAATAGTCTTCCTAAGAATTGTATTAACTAATTAATCTTGACAACCAACGATTTCAATATTAACTCATAAAAATTTCAATTTAACTCCCAAATAGCTTCCTGCCAGTCTTTATTTCTTAGGAGATAACTACTTTTTTGGACAAATGCTGCCTGACATCACCTTTCCTAAGTGCCCTTCTGAAATCCACCCCTGCCTGTGCTGGAAATGTACCTTTATTAGCATGTACAATCTCCTCAGTGGAGTTCCAGCTCCCAGTTGAGGTGCCTTGGATGGTGCAGCTGAAAAGAAGAGAAGCAGAGGTGACACGTTATTAACACAGAAATCAGTCACAGACAAGTCAGAGCTGAAAAATGCTTTATTTTGCCACACTGGTGGAGACTCAGCTCATGGATTTTACATGTTTATTTATTTTTCTAGACAAGCATGAAAGCCCTTTCAAAATGGCATCACATCACACTTCTCTCACGGCCTCAAAGGTGAACAGCAAATTTCTTCTTCACTGGGGCCTTTGATTGTGAAAATGAGAAAGCCCAAACAGAGCTGGACCAATGCTCCCACCTGAGCCCTCCAGCTCCCCCTGCTCCTCCACAAAACACTTGTCCTGACAAGAAACAAGGGGTCTCTGGCAGAAATCAGCAGGCACAGCAACAGCTCTGCTGGCACAGCAAGGCTTTGGCATTAACAATTAACTGCACTGGTTTCTTTGGGGCAGCCACTTCCTGGGAATGCTGGTGACACAGCCCAGTGTGAGGGGCTAAAACCCCCCAGGGCTGGACTCAGGCTGGGCAGGGGCTGCAGCCCCCCAAAACCTGGAGTGTCCCTGTCACCCGAGGAGTGGCAGCCAAAGAAAAACCTGCTGTGTCCTCGACTGCCTGGGAATTCTCAACACAGCAGCAGGTGCTGTGATAACAAGTATGGGTGTTACAGGAGAACAAACAATTCAGAACTTGGTATGGGGTTTGTTGGGTTTGGTTTTCTTTTACAGGTGACAGTTCCTGATCTGTTCCCCATGAGAGTATTTTGTCATTTGAAGGAGTCATTTCACAATTTGAACACGTTACTCAGTCATAGAATTCCAGAAGTGTTGGGATTGGAAGGGACCTTAAAGCCCATCCAGTCCCACCTCCTGCCATGGACAGGCAGGGACACCTTCCACCAGCCCAGGTTGCTCCAAGCCCCGTCCAACCTGGCCTTGGACACTTCCAGGGATCCAGGGGCAGCCACAGCTTCTCTGGGCAACCTGTGCCAGGGCCTCCCCACCCTCACAGGGAATTATTCCTTCCCAACATCCAATCTAAACCTCTCCTCTTTTAGTTTGAAACCATCCCCCCTTGCCCTATCACTACCCGCCTGTGTAAAAAGTCACTCTGTCTCTTTTTTATAATCCCCCTTTAACTTCTGGAAGGTGCTCTGAGATGTCCCTGGAGCTTTCTCCAGGCTGAAGATCCCCAGCTCTCAGCCCATCACAGTCTCACGCTCTTAAATGACACAGATTTCTGGCAGTGAAGAGCTGCACATTCATTTCACGTCCTGCAGAAGATAAATAACCAAGGGAACACTTTGCAAACACACTGCTTGCACTTGCTGAGTTTGTTTATTCCAAACCCCTCCAGCTTTCAGGACTCTGCAGGGCCCCAGGGGTGAGGATTAGCAGCAGCACAGGACAAGGACAAAGGGTTTGGGCTGTTCTGGTGTAAACAAAGCCATTAGAGCCTCAAGTGGGGGAAATACGAATAAGCAGCTCTGTGTCTAAATATTGGCTGTAAAAACAAATGCTTACTCACATTCAGGTTATCAGGGCACTGACAAAGGGTAGCTTTCCTGGAAACTCCAGGTATAAACTGAGGAAAACACAAAGTCAGACACCCAAAATGGGTCAAAATGAACAGCCTGCACTGGCAAAGCTGGGCAAACACGGTGTGAGATATGAAGGTTCCCAGGCATTAAAAACCCGGGGTCTGGCTGTCCTGGTTGTTCCCCTGCAGCCCTGAGGTTTGCACAGTGTCCAGGGACCCTTTTTCCCTGGCAGCTGCCAAGCCCTGACTGAGCTGGATGGCCCTTCCAACCCGACCTTGGCTAAAGGCAGCTCCAAATGGGCTGTCCAGTTCTGCCAGCAGAGGATAAACAACACACAGTGTCTGGTGCAGACGTGGGTTGGCAACTTATTACACCCTAAGGAGCCCCCAGTTCCACCCCACACTGCTTAACAAACCTGGCCCACCACACACCAGTAAGGAGCAGCTTGTCTGAAAACTTATCCCTGCCAATGCATAAGAACTGCACTCTGGAATTAATATGTAATATTTATTATTGGTTGCTGATTGCAGAATTATTGTCAGGGTAACGAGACTTTCAAAATATAACGACATCCCTGGAAGACACAGGTGCTGCCAGCTCAGAAACATTCCCATTTTTTGCTAGAGTTAGCACTCAGTTTAGTGCACACAAACCACAAACCTAAAGAAAGACAACAACCAGTCCACTCCTCTGTCATGCTTAAAAAAGGAAAACTCATGAGCTCTTCTTTAACAGCTTTTGTGGTGCCATAGGCTGTTTATTGGAATACTTTCCGTGTTTTCCCTTGGATAGACAAATACCACCCAACTGTTCTTTTCTCTGGATGGGTTGAGGCACAACAGCTTCAGGTATTTGTGTTATGACTGAACTCCACCAGGGAGACAACAAGGGCCCCACAGAGCAGCCCCAGCTTAGCCCATATTTCACAAAACTCCCCCTAAGATCAATAAGCCTTTCACAAGAGTTATGAGGAAAGTGGCATCAGGTAAAGGCCTCTTATCGGTGAAAGAAAGCCCTTACTCAGAAGGGTAACATTTTAATTTCATCAAAAATTACATTAGCATTCCTGGAGCAATATCTATAATTTGATAGCTACAGTTAATATGTGGAGTGTTTACCAATCAAAACAACACCTAGAATTTGATGTACGTTGTGTTTGTGCTGTCTGTGCCCCCCAGGGACCCTGCCCTGTGGCACCAGCAGTTGTACACAATGAAAACCAGGAAAATCCTCAGGCTGGGTCTCAGTGAGACAAAAAAAAAAATCTCCATCTATCCCTCTATCAGCTCAAGGCCATTCCCCTTTGTTACTACATGCCCTCGTGATAGGGCATCTCATATATATATATATAAATACATATATACACATATATATATACACACATCAATAGCTGTATCACAAAAATAGCTCTCTCACAATACAGAAATTCCCAAGTGACTAGAAACCAGCTCATAAAACAGAGAGGTTATTCATCAGTAACATCTTAAATTTTAACTTCATGAAGATATTCCTCCTCTTCACTGAGGGCACTGCTCAAAATGCATCTGTGCATCAGACATCCCCACACGTGCACGCTGCTGCCTCCTCGGGAACTGCTGCAGACATTTCATTGATTGCAGCTCAGCAGTTCCAGAGCACTGTGACCCAGCACAGCCCCAGCCTTCAGGAGCAGGATTTACTCTGGGAAATGCATCCAGACAGGATTAGAGAACACTGCGGGGTGAGGCTCCAGCCCTGCTAATTACTCTTTCATGCAATGCACTGACAGGGAGTTTTTGACTTGTTTCCTTGAAAATAAGCTTTGACACAACATCAGAGCAGAAGCTTCCCAGGGATGTGGGAGAATCACTCAGCATGTTTTAAAGAGAGGGACCTGCCAGTTTTGGAACTCAAACACTGGGTCAAATACACCCAATTTATAGCTTCATGCTGCACTGGTAAGTGAAAACGGAGTGTGGCTTTTGAATTCCAGATGAAACGCGCCCAATTTGAAAACCATACATAAATTTATAAGAGCTCCTGCAATAGCTACATCCCTTTTTCAAACAATTTGGGTGCTGGTGGGAGAAAGTTCCATCCAATTCCACAGGCATTTGGGCACCCTTGAAATGCTGCTGTTGGATCATCACTGATCCTCAGCTTCCACTATGACATAAAACCTCATCTTAGAGATCAACAGCTCAGAGAAAAAACAGCAGAGTTGAGAATGCACATATAAATATTTAGCATTAAATAAAGCTCCACATTTTCCCTTTTCTTTCTCTCCTGCTTTATAGATCCAATAACCATTATCCGCATTCCAGATGTCGTGGGAAGAGTAACTGATGTTTGCAAGGCATTGGCAAATGAAGATTATTATATAAATGTAATGTAAGCCACTATTCTTATGGTTCTATTACGTCCCAGGGATGCTGGGCAGCCTCTCAAAAAGAAGTATTATTTGGCACAGTGAATAATGAAATTATGTAAAAGCAACAGTTCCCTCTTCTCCTTGGACTAATAAACTAACTGCACTTCAGCTGGGTTTCTCTGTTCACCTCCAAGACACAGGGGCTGTTCCCAGTGTGACACTGTGTTCTGGGAAACAAGCACTTCCAAAATATTCAAACTGCAGATGAAACACCTTTTCTTCTTTAGGTTATAGTTTGAAACATGATATCAGAAAAAAAAAAAAAAAAAAAAAAAAAGAAGAGTTTTGTGGCTCTAAACAGCCAGAGGGCAGGGTTAGATGGGATACTGGGAAGGAATTGTTCCCTGTGAGGTGCCCAGAGAAGCTGTGGCTGCCCCTGGATCCCTGGGAGTGTCCAAGGCCAGGTTGGACGGGGCTTGGAGCAACCTGGGCTGGTGGAAGGTGTCCTGTCCATGGCAGGGGTGGCACTGGGTGGGCTTTAAGGTCCCTTCCAACCCAAACCATTCTGGGAATCTACAATTATAAATTAGCTACAAATTTTAAAATATAAATTAATAAATGGAAATAAATAAGAATCCGATAGAAATCAAAAGTGCTGGATTGAAACAGAAGGACATCAGTCTGATCTAAATATCCACAAAACCAAGTGATCAAACTTAGCCAAGTCTTCCAACTGATTTTTGGGAACCACCAGCTGCTTATAAAGCACAAACCCCTGAGGGCCCATCAGTAACAGAGATATTTAATGAGCTGGCTTTGGGGCATTCCTGGCATCATCTTCCAGGCATGAGAACTGAAAACTTTTGCTTCCAGATTCCTGATGTACAAATGGCTTCTCCCCAGGAACTATCTAAACTAGAGGGTATTTAACAGAAGCTGAAGAAAAATCAAGTGATGCAGATGCTGGCACCTGACCTGCTGGCCAGCAAGGCTAATGAAGGGCAGGCCCCTGGACACCCTCAGGATCACCAGCTGGAATGTGGCCCATTGATTTCCTGTAATTCAATTTAAAAGGGTGGTGATTTGGGTCAGGCTGCCAGACAGGGTCTGTACACATCACTTAGTGACCACCACAGGTCT